AATATTTATAGTTTTATTCATAATATTTATACCTTTATTCTATCAGAACATCAGACACTCAAAACTTTCTGATACAACTTGTCAAATGTTTGTTTTGAACTCATTTGTTTTCCTATTCTGGGTATATGCATACTTGCTAGTTAGGGTTTTTTCCTTTTTTAAAAGAATCCTTAAAAAGTTAAAATCAGGTAAGATATCAAGCACCAATGTTGCCTAATCAGGTTTTTTCCTGTTCTCTGCTTTTTTCAGATCTCAGTTCATAAGGCAATCAGTTTGCTATTCTATGCTTACTAAATTTAATCAACAGCCTTTAGAAAGGAACTTAATTAAAAAGCTTTTGGGAAGTTCAAATGTATAAATACACTGAAGCAAGATAGAAATTTGATAAATATCTTCAAGGTTGCTTCAATCTTTATCACATTTTATTTACTTACATAATTTATATGTTGTGTTTCCAGTGAAACAGAATCCTCATGGCATCTTACAGTTTAACAGACTCAGAAAAAAGCCAGAGGATGTATTATCAAAAACAAACAAACGCATTATAAAATGGTGGTGAAGGGCCCCACATCTTTTGGCCACCCTATGTCTCTCAAACTTGTGAGAGTCCCTTCAGTTTTCTCTGTGAGTCAGGTTCTAACTGTTTTCTGACCAGTGATCCCAATCAAGAACCCTGTTTTTCTGCTGCTATTTGCATTGAGAAGATTATTAACTTAATGAGGATTGTTGGGAGGGTACTTCCCTCTATGTTTAGCTTCCAGTGTTCATTGCCAAACAGTAAACTCTGCTGGAATGAAGATATACTGTCCTTTTCCACCCCCAGGGAAAAAACCACATTCCTTCCACATTCAGGAAGAACCTAAGTGTATTTGCACACACAGTGTGTGAGCATGCACGTGCAACCCTGGTACACATCCTGGAATTACAGGGCCAAAATATTTATCTGTTTCTGTCTGTATTTACTATGAGTATTCTCAAATAATTCTAAAAGACTGATGTGTATATAGCTATATAGTTTTTACTAAATAAAGTCCTTTCTTAGCAAGCGATTGATTTTCTCAGCCTTCACAGTGATTTACAGTAATACTACCTGAGACGCTTTAGATGCATAATCTTGTAATTTTCTGATTCTTTTTAAATATTGGTATTGCATAGGCTAATTTGGAGGCCTCTGAAATGAAAGCCAGTATTAGGGAGATTAGCGAGCTACTTCTAAACTCTCAGGAGCATACTATAGACACTTCATGCATTATTAACTTTTAATTTGTCAATTTTTCCTAGAATTTCATTTATTAGAACTTCTGCTAGGCTTTAGTCTTTCAAAGTTGTGCCTGAAACTATCTCTATTATCTTCAGCAGCATACTGGTCTATATTTGTCAGAAAATTATCCACTATGAAGACCATTGCCAAAAATCCATTCTGCTCCTTGTCAGTCTTCCTATTTTCCATCAGGATTAAAAAAAAAAAAATCCTAAACTTTCAAAGAAAAAGTTCTACACATAATTGTGGTTATCAAAACCAGCTCCCCAAAGAAACGTAGTACTGGGGAGATGCTGTCTTCTTCCCTGAACAGAGTGTTTTGTATGATGGTGAGGTAGTAAATGAAATGAGTGGGGCATCTACTGCTTCTACTTGAAACAAACAGAATCAGTTAAACTATTGGTCATGTTTTAATCACCACACAACAATTTTAGCTTGCTTTCCATACAAACATTGAATGTAAACATAGTTCTATTAAAACTAACTTGGATATAATTGAACAGTTGTCATGAAAGGGGATTACTAAAAAGAAAGTTGAAAGAGCACTTGAAGTATTAAAAATTGCTGTCATAAAAACGGGTAGAATATGTCTCTCAAATTAAAAACTGTGTTACTAAATCCAAGCAAATTCCAGGATAGTTACCAAGCAAATTTAAACAAGATCTTCACCAGTTGAGGTGAAAAATAATAATAATTTGGCAAAAACAAAAACCAAGTCAAAGCAGAAAGCTCACCAAAGAGGCCATTGGACAACAGGGTATTAAGGATAAGAAGATTGCTAAGGAATTCATTTGAATCTGTCTCACCGTTGAGAGAGCCGAGAGATGAACTGAGACAAGTAGAGATCACAAATGATTAAGGTAGTGGCTGGTGAATTCCTGCAGGAGAGGCAGTTGGGCAGCACTTCAAAATATCGCTGATTGTTCCACTTCAAATCCTGCTAATCCCAATCCAGTCCATTTTGAATTTACATTTTTTAATAGTAATTTTATTAAATATTATAATTGCAATAGTTAAAACTAATACAAACTAAAAAAAGATAGAAAAGCAGAAATAAAATAGAAGGTACAGAAAGAAAAAAAAGGAAAAAATAGAAAAAGAAATAGTAAAAAGAAAAGACCATTAGTAAAGAAAAAGAAAATAAATATATAAAGAAGTGACTTCCAACCTTCATCACAAGTATAAACAATTTTAGTAACTTATCATCTCCTCTTAAAATACAACAAATGATCTCTTCTTTCCATATCCCATCTCTTATCTATAAACAAATCCATAAAGCATCATTTCAGTGCTGTTGTCAGCAAAAGTCCATAAAATGTTACCAGAAATAACAACATATATTTGTTAAACTTGATCAAAAAACCAACTTTATATTCCTTCCTTTTACTTCGAACAATCTTTAGTCCATTCAAATAATGTTGTAGAACTTGATTTCTTTTCATTTTTTCTTTGTCC